TGAACAGCAGGAGAGTTGCTGGTGAGGCGCTTGCTTGCCAGGTGGGGCCATGACAGAGCTTGCATGACAGCCAGCTGATCTGCTTCCTTTGTTGATGTTCTTCCCCTATGAGAATGGATAAATTTACTCCGGTAGCCAAAATAAATGACCAGGAAAAGCCATAGGCATTTTGTTTTCTCTAGAGCAGTGTATTTCTGCAACCCATGTCCCCTTCCCTGGGAATTATCCCATTATTCCCATGCAGCTAACCTGCCGCAGCTTCAGGCACTGCAGAACTTCCTCTCTGTATGCAAAGCGTTATCCAGCCCTCTAGATGCCCCCACGTCCTGCTAGCCTCATATCTTGCCCTGTTGTTTGAAGTGCCCAGGTAGGAAAGCGTGAAATGGGAGCTACTGGGTGATACACAAATTATCTCTAAATATGGAAACATTCCTCTAAATAATGTGCACGTACTGTAATGCACAAAACTGCCCAAAGCCGTAGCAGCGATGTGCCATACAGAAAAAGGAGAGAAGAGAGCACAGTGCAAGGACATGCCAAAGGGATCTCTCCCCCCCATTAGTTTGCTGTTCTTGTCCTGAAGTGATGTGTAGTTTGGATTCAGTAGCACAGAAAGTGTGAGAAGGAAGAGGAGGATATTTTTACTGGCATGTCCAGCACGTGGGGGTATTTTGGTGAATACTATAATTCTTTATCTTTCTGAATGTAAGAAACATAATTCAGCCCTTAACCTCTCTCCCCTACTCTTGCTTTCTCTCCCTCTGTAGATATACTCTTTATTGTTAGCCTAATTAATGTCATCATTATATTTTTAAACCAACCAAAAAAATTGTCTTTGCAGCAAGCTTAATGTAACTGACTCAATTTCATTTGATTTTGCTTTTTACAGAAATGGCAAGTGCTATGGTACCTAAGGAATAAAAAGGGTAATTTCCTAAATTTTTTTGGTCAGAGTATGGAATTTATAACTCTGGCTAGACAATGGCCCCCTCAGCGGCAGAGACTCATTTCAGAGACAATAGATGTTGTCCTAACTCTGTCACTGTGGCCACATCAAACCATTATTATGGCTGCAAGCCAAAGGAAGAGAAAAGAAGCCTTTTTATTATTGCTCTTCTATACAGCCTCTGTAACTTGGCAAGGTTCTTTCAAATGTGATTTTGCAAATCTTAAATGCAACATATTATATGGTGTTATTAACCTTGTATTTCGTATCCCTTTGATATGATTCCTTTGCAAATGATTGAAGTCTACATGGATCTATCCAATACCTTTAAAATGCATCCTACAAAGAAACCTTAAATAATACAGCTAAAAAGGCTTTTGTTTTACCCAGAAATTTAGTCTACTGGTGTGTATCATCTTGAAGGAAAATGTTTTGTTTGTGTTACACAAGAAATGTTCTGAGTTGTTAACTGATGTTTTTTCTTCTTTTATTATTGTCCTATAACTCACAAGGAAATTAAATTTTGTTTCAAATTATTTTTTAATAAGTTATGCAAATTTCTAGTACATGTGTAAACATTAACTGTGCGTGTTCTCTTTATTTAGGTACCTTTGTCACTAAAGTAACAGCTACAGATGCAGATGATCCAGTTTATGGAAATAGTGCCAAGCTGGTTTACAGCATTCTGGAAGGACAGCCTTACTTTTCTGTTGAGCCACATACAGGTAAGTGACTCTGAATATGAATCTCTGGGTTACAGTGACACAAGGGACCATGCCTCTTGTGTATTTCACGTAATACACTCAAGCAGGGAGCTTGTCTGTCAGTACCAAGCTGTAACACGTGTCTCACTTGTATTGCATCAGAGTTGGATCAGTGAAAAGACAAATAAAAATCTGCATTAATGATAACATAAGTAATGGTGATGCCAATATTACAGAAGTTACTGAAGCAAAACTGAAGGTAGTGCAAGTGCCGTGTGACTTTTAACTGAGTAGGGATTGAAAGATTTGGCATGAGGAATTTAATGAGCATAATTTAATTTTCAATTTGAGACTATAGTATTTCCAATTAAAGATAGTTTTGCTTGGAAATTTTAGTGAATACAGTGTGTGTGTTTTCATTAAAAGTTATTTTTCTTTCTTGATTGGATGGATCAGGGAAAAGAAAGAACATGATACTGAGCGTTCGGATGAAGTTTTATTAGAATGCATTTAGGATGACTTTATTCCTCTGTGGTTTTAAAGTCTTGAAAGGCATCTGAAAGAAGTACCAATAAATCCGTTCCCTCTTGTTTTCTGTACATGTCGTACTTGGAGCAAATTCATTTGGCTATGTCTGAGAAGTGATTTTTAAAGTGAATTGATATTATTTCTTATATTGTTTCACTTCTTAATAGTTTTTAATCACTATGAGTCAAGCAGCTGTGATCTCTTAAGGAGGAGAAAGCTATAACTCATTTTAAAACATACAAAAAACCACCTGAATTTGTATGACCCTAAAGGAGTAAAGCAGGAGTAAAAAATTCTTGTCCTGAGGCAGATTAACAAAATTAGGAAACAAATGCTAGGAGAAATTACTGAAGGATGCTTTTGATAGATCAACTGCGCTAAATTGTCTCAGCAGTAGTAAGAATTCTTAGACTCCCTATAGTCCAAAGTTCTTTAATTTTTTCTGGTGGAATTGCATAGGGAAAATTATTTCCCTTTCCTAGATGGGGAATCTAACTTGCAGGGACTTTAAGTAAACAGTATAGGTCAATAAATATTAATGGATTAATGGATTAATCCATTAAAGTATTTTCTTCTGGTTGAAGGACAGCTATTCTAAATGTGAAAACACTCTTTGGAATGTGATTCAGTATTTTATTTTCTGTGGCATATAAAATAGAGTTTTACAAAGAATAACACTAGCACAGCATGATAAAGAAACAGTAGCTTGTTTCAAAAATAAATATGTCATGAGTATTATTAATGAAGCCCCTAAGTTCATGCTGGCTGATTTGCCACAAGTCAAGTGGAAATAGAACTCTGAACAGACCCATGACCATCAAGTATGATTTGGTTCTCTTTAATACTACTAATTATTGCATGCAGTAATGACTTAACTGTCTTAATAAGAGGGGAATCAACTGTAGGATCTTTCTCAGTTTTTACTAGGGAAAGTTAGTGCTTTAGCAGGGGAACACATCAACTTTCACAAGAGGAGCGAAGAAGTGTATTCTCCACCTACACAGATTTTTCACTTCTTTCACAGAAAAATAGCCTAAAAGAAATATTCCAAATGTAAAAATTGTTTAATTTTAGGTTTGTTATTTGTATTGCACCAAAATCTTATACTTAATCCAATGAAGTAACAATTCATCACCTAAGAAAGTGATTTCTTTTGTCCTCAAAGCCAGAGGAAACTCGAAAGTTTTTTAGTGAAGCTGAAAATAATGAAAATCATTAAATTCCCTCTCCTGTCTTCATTTCCAGTAACAAATATCCCTTTGAGTAGCTGTTCAGTTACCATGCAAATGACATGTTAGTTTCTAAAGGGAATTTAATCACAAACAATTCAACTGCAGCTTTGCCACAGTCCCTGACTAAGTGGCTTCATATTATGGAGCTGCTTCTGAATAAGTGGTTTCAGATTCCCTACTTTTCTAGATCTATGGGAGATACCAATTATGTTCTTCTCAAGAACATTACAACCAAATCAGTTTATGCACTGAGACTGTCCTCTGTTTCTTTACTATCTCTATGTAATGGCCTTCAGTTATAGTGTAGCCACCGTACTACTCTTACAGCTACCCAGCGAGTACTTTGTTAAATTCAGAGTACGCAGTTGTTTCTGCGATAATCAGGTGGACATATCCATTGTTTTGTAATGTTGTAAAATTTGCAGAATTTGCTCTTGTGTCTGAGAAGTATTTCCATTCACTTCGAGAAATCTTAGCCATACTTAATGGTAAATTGTGTAGACATTTCTTTAGGATATGTTAACAATACATATACGTAAGAGTCTAATTAAGAAAGCCAAATGCAGGCAGTCACGTAGAAGCTGCAGCCACATATTGTACAGAGTGAAAAAGTTGCTCTAAAACCCAGCAGCCTTATGTTTGTGGTTCTTCTGAAGAGAAGTTTTGATTTCAGAAAATGTAAGGAGCTATCTAGCAGACTTTCTTGGTAATACCAGAGTTTTGGAGCAAGGGTATGATAATGTTTATTACATATCAGAGAAAGTTTTATGGGTCGTTCTCTGCAGTCTCAAAATGCCAATAGTATTATGCTAAGATAGCTACAATTTTGCAGTAGCTTGTGGCACTGTGTATTTCAGCTTCTAGAGGCAGTGGCGCATACAACATGCACGCTACTTTAGCAGCTATATAATTTGAACAGTAGTGCTGTTGCCGTGGACAGGTAGAGTGGAAGGTTTGTTTTAAGAAAAAAAATAATATCCAAAGCAAGTAAAAAATATATAGATCTTTGTTTGTTTCTTTATATTTATCCAACCTTAGCAATGTGAACCATCACAGCTAATATCTGTTTCATCTTAGTAACTAGGCCAGGAAACCACATTATCTTACACATTTGTATGCAGTAATCGAGAACCTCAGTGAACATTTTCATGTTGGAAGTTGTTTGTCACAGTAGTTTGTGACCGTATACAAAGCAAAGCAGAACAGCCAGGTGTAGTATTGTCTTATCCCAAACAAATCACACCTGAAGGTGATCCTCCAAGCATAGTAGATATTTTAGGGTTTACATTGTGGTTGTTCTTTGCTTGGGTTTTTTTTTTTGGAGGGAGTGACTGTGGATGTGTATAGCTATTTTTTCTCTGGGGTTGTGTTTCATTAGTGACTCTACTAAACTCATAGCCTTTCTAATTAATCTGAAACATAATTGTTTCTGAACACAGATATTGTGTCTGGAATTGTATCCTTCCCAAAATGGAATCACTGTTTTAAGAAGTGGACTATGTTGATGTGATCCACTTCAGATTGTAGGTATTTTCTGTCATTCATGGGAGCATATCAAATGTTATTAAAAGTATAGCTACTTAGAGCTGATATCCTTACAGTTTTTCTAGATGACTGGCCTGTTATTAACTTTATTAGAAATGAAGACTAAATTTAGATCTGTGTAGATACCGGCACCAGGGCAGCCATAGACAGGCTGTACTGCCTATAATATTTTCCATTTCCTGGCTTACACTAAAGGTTGTCTGACCTTACTGTTCTGTTTGAATGGTTTGCTGAGAGCTGACCATCAGGAACAGTCCCAGTCTCCTGGTTCCTCTCTCTTCTGTAGTATTCTGAACAAAAAGAGGGAGCAAACATATAGGATATGGCTTTGTGGCTGCGGTGGAAAGGGTTGCTGCATCTGAGGGTGAACGTGGGAAAAGCCATTGCTTAATCTTTTGCTTTTTTGTTCCTACTAACTTGACATTAGCAAGTCGTAGTCCTTATCTGAATCCCACTCTTGGTTCAAACTCTGATATTGCCCTCAACTTCCTTGCTGAAGCAATTCTATAATGCTGGGTGTACAGAAATAAGTACTGGTAAATGACCTGTAAAACAATAATTTTCCATTACCTTAGATAAAAAATGCATACGCTTCTGCATTTCTAGTTAGTAAGTTCTTCTGTATGAGTTATGGACACACGAACAAAGGTATTTCAGAGGTTATTTTTCATTCAGTGCACTGAATATTGCTTAGGTTAATGCTTTATTGATGGCCTGTTGTGAATATGTTTCACTTTTCAGAGGTGAGTTTTAATATGACCACTGGTTTGTTGGATGGACAGTAAACATAAATAATGCAATACAAAGACTGAAATTCAGATTGTCTACAAGAGGATAAACTTACTGTGTGGTGACGTTAGATTAGTAACGAAAGTATATATGTATTCTCTCGTAATCCAAATGGTGACAGTCAAAATGCTGGGGAAGGAGGTTCCTTAAGACTGCTAAAAGTAATTGAAGTACACTTTTCAATTTTAAGCTTTTTTAAGGATATTAAGTCACGACTGTCAGCTTTAAAATGAGATTATCATAATGGAACTTAATATGAAGTGACACTGTTCTGCAATATAGGAACAGTGGAGAAAATACATTTTCAGCTGTGTCTGACTTATTTACATTTCACATGAACTTAAATAATGTCACTCCTACACATACCTGAATTATGGTTACATGAACAAGGCAAATTACACCAAGAGCCCTACTGCACTGGAAAACACATTGTATTATTTAAGCAGAAACCCTTACTCTGTTTGAAAAAGAATAGATTTTCCATACTGCCATCTTGTATATGGTGGATTGAGAGCAGCCCTGTGGAAAAGAACTTGGGGGTACTGGTGGATGAAAAACTGAATCATAGAATCATTTAGGTTGGAAAACACATTTAAGATCGAGTTCAGATGTTATGAATATGAGCCGGCAATATGTTCTCACAGCCCTGAAGGCCAATCACATCGTGGGCTGCATCAAACGAAGCGTGGCTAGCAGGTCAAGGGAGGTGATTCTTTCCTTCTGCTTTACTCTGGTGAGACCCCACCTGGAGTACTGTGTCCAGCTCTGAGGCCCCAGCCTAGGAAAGACATGGAGGTGGACCACAAAGACAATCAGAGAGCTGCAGCACATCCCCTATGAGGACAGGCTGTGAGAACTGGGAGTCGTTCAGCCTCGCTAAGAGAAGGCTCCTGAGAGACCTTGTTGGCCTTCTGCTACTTAAAGAAA